GCACAGTAATGACCCTATTGTCACCTGTCAAGTGTCCAATTTTTAAGGGGAATGAAACTAAAATATTCAGTTTGATACGTTTTAAACACTTCCCTTCTGAAAAAAAATATTCCACCAGCAAAATTTTTAAATTTTTTTTATTCCTTGCTTTGTTTTAAATAAGTTAAATTTAAATTGATGAAAATTCATTCAATTTTTTTTATGTATTTTAAATATTAAGGGGGGGGGACTTTTTGAGATTTCGAATTACTGAAGGTGACAACTATCTACCATTCATTGCATCAACAACGCCTATGATTATAACCATAATTCTATTGGTCTTGAAATTGTAAAGCTTTAACGTCTATGATCCCTCCTGCCCACAAAAAAATGGTGTAGGGATAGTCCAAAATAACTATTAAAAACAAGAATAAAAAAAATGTTTAGTAATAACTAATACTAGAAGGATACAATAAAACACGAAATTTTTTTAAAAGGAGTATTGAATCATTATGTACATATTATGGAGCAAAGAAAAGATAGAAGAAAAACATGGATTTTTAATTGAAAACAAACATAAAAAGAAATTCTACTTTAAATTTCAGGTAGGATTCAGTGGATGTCAACATTCTTTCATACAAGGCTCGGATTTTCCACATTATCTCAAGACTAAATGAACTATCTGTAGCAAGAAATGTTAACAAAAAATGTTAAAAATACAGCACAATATACCACTAATTAAGTATAAACACACACATACACAAAAAAAACATTATCCCAAGACTAAATGACCACAATATAGCACAAGTATAAACACACACACACAAACACAAAATTTTAATCTTCAAAATAAAATAAAAAGTTTACAATGCTTGTACTAAAAATAAATATATCAAAACTTTTTATAGTGAAATATAACCAACTTTTTTTTTCAATTTCTTTTTTTGTAATATTAAAATGCAAATTAATTTATTTTTAAGGAAAAAAAATTGTATTTCTGATGTATGGAGGGTTTTCTCAAATTCTTCTTATACCAAAAATTTTTTTAACCCATATTTTACCACATTTAAAAACAATTTAAATTTTTTGAAAAAAATTCCCTCACATGCTATTTAAACAAGTAAAACATCACATTCAAGTAACTGTCCAAAACTTTAATGGTCTAGCATATACAAGCTGTCCTATCCAATCCACTACGAAATATTTTGCAATCAAGCCTCTTTGGTTAACTCAAATGTAATATTAAAGGCTTGGGGTTAATAAATTTCAAAGCAAATTTATAATTTTCTTCTTGTAATTATTTCAAATTAAATTTTAATTCACGTCAAATAAAATAGTAAAAAATAGCTATTTTCAAAAATCTAAAAAAAAAAAATATACAAAAAACTAAATAGTATTAGTCATAAAATAAGTTTAATTAATGTTAATCTATCTAAATTTTATTTTAGAAGTGAAAAATAATTGAATATAACAATACCGGCAGTAAAAATTAAACAAATTGTTGCTGTCCTCCATATAGGACGATGGTAAAATACGGGTTAACGCTTTCTTTTAAAACTTATATAAAATTCCATTCAAATTCTGAAATGAGCCCTCAATTCAAAAATAATTCTCTTTAATGCTAATTTATTAAGATATAGATCTGTAAAGTGTAAACATTAAGACACATATTACAACTCACTTAGCGATTTTGTATATAACAATTCGGTTATTTATCAGAGTTCTCTAGCAAGGGCGCCACAAACTCATACTTTTGGGAGGGGAGAAATTATCCCTTCAATGAATGAAGTTCCTAATTTAACCAAATCATAAATAGATTTTACTCATTGAATTTTTCTAAAAAAGGGGTCCACACTTGATTCATTTATAAAGCTTTCTTAATGATTTGACAATTTTGATGTGGCTATTCTAACTGTACCTTTATTTATTTTTCTTATTTGTGGTCATTTTCTTATCATGTCTTATTTTGTGTACTTTTAAGTCATTACTAAGACTTACTTTGTGATTATTTGTCATTTATTTTTCTTTGCATATATATATCAATTTTTCTAATTGCTTTTTCTTATTTGATTTTCCATTATGGGGCCTCGGTTTTACCTCTGACAACAGAGAGGCTCTTGTGCGTGTTAGCAGGTAGTGCGTCCCCTGATGAAGTGCTGTCCTGCTAACACACATATCTCAATTTTTTTTTCCTTCTGGAATTGTTTTTCTGATTTTATAAATTAAAATAAAAAAGTTGGATTTAGCTGCTGTAGACGTTTTTCCATTTCGATTTATTATTTTAAATGCTACTTACTTATTTTGTCTTTTTTCTGAATTTGTAAATTAGTTTCATTCTTGGATTAGATCATAAATAGGTGTGTTATTCATTTACTTCAATAAAAAATATCATGCTTCTAATATTTGCATTAGATGAAATGCATCAATATATTACTGATTTATCAATTTTATATCTGCTTATACTTGCAAATTAGCTGCAATTTGTCAGTGAGTAAGATATTAAACTGTTATGAAGAACTAGGGTGCAATTATTAATGGCAACTTGAAGCCCTTCAGATTGATGGGTACCAGCTTGTCAAAAAAGAAATGGTACCAGCTTGTTTGGGAAGTAAAGATGACCTGTGTACAATACTGACTACATTGCCACAATTAGGCTGTTGATCACACAAGTAAGGGGCCTTAACCTTCCTGGCCACAATGAGATGTTGCTTTATCGTTTTCTAGTAACATACCATTTCATAAGTAAATAAAAGAGAAATAAATTAATTTGCAGCTAAGATGAAGGCATAATTTTTCAATATCCTATAATTCAAATAACAAATTATTTTGTGTCAGCAAATCGCATCAATACCAAATAGAAAGATAGATAAAGCATGGGAGTTCTGTGACTTATTATTGACAAGTTTATTTTACATGATATTTTATACATAAATATTACCTCAAATCCTTCTGGTCTTTGTGTTGGTTATCTACATCTTAATGTAACGTAAAAGCAATTTTACGAATATAAACATTTAAAAACAAGTAAAAAGCAATATGGGCTAGTTCCGTTAGCTAGGTGTTTAAATTATTTTTATTTATTTATTTTTTACACACAGACAAAACACACCAAAAAATAAATAATAAAAAGTATATTTGAATTCAATTGCACCTGGCAAGCAGAAAAGTACCCAATATTCTAAATAAATAAGAGAAATTATGCATTAAAACTTTTACCGAAGTCTTCATTAGTAGAGTCATCAGGGGTATTTTGTTTGCAAACTAGAGAATGTCGTAAGTTCTGAAGCTACAAGAAATATCCAAGAATGTGGCTGGATTTGAGTGGAGGATCTCTCCAGAAATTTGGCAAAAAATCTAGATGAGTAAGGAAAAGAAAAGTTTACAATAATGCTAAACTATATTTCAGTTAATAAAAAGAAGAAAATAAGCAAGCGGTTTAAACAGACAAGGAATAACTTGGAGGAAAAAAAAACCCCTTTTTATTTATCATCAGAGCTTAAAATTCCATTATTGGTCCAAGTACACATTCAAACAAGCATATAAAAGTTGGTTATACAAGGTACGTAGCAAGATCTTTTCAACAAAAAATAAGCACCTTTTAAGTATTTTTTAAGCACTCAAAAATATTTTAAATCACTTTCCAAAACAAAATAATTCATAATTAGGATCTGTGCCGTAATAAAAACTATTTCTCTCATATCGTTTAAAGAAATGTAAAATTCAAAAACATTTTCAAAAACTTCACATAATCTTGATAAAATAACTAGTTTCTGACAAATATTGCAGAAAAAATTGTGAAAATCTTGCATTTTTTGTAATTTAGAACGCAATCAATATGGCAAAGAAAAAATCTCTTTTTAAAAGACAGAAAATTAAGCACTTTTTACAAAACTCGAATAAAAAAAGCACATTCAAAGGCTTTTAAAAAACGAAAATAAAATTAAATAGGATAGTCCAGTTTCTTCGATTAATGTCTTCTTACTTAAGTAACTTCTAATAGTCTCTAAAAAATAAATTCAGATTTAATCTTTTGAATGTTCAATGATGAAAAGGTTAAGTCTATAATAATAATGTAAGCACAAATTAATAAATAAGTTCTTAAATTTAGTTAACAACATAAAAACAAATAATTAATAAAAAATACATAAATACTACGATTAGTCGGATTTTACTATTATGAAAATAATGCATTCCAATATATACGACTTTTCACCTATGTGGCAGAATTTTTTTCTGCTTTCTGCGACACACCTCTCTAATACTAATATCTTCCTGCAAGATGCTTAAAAATAACAAATATACATGTTACTTATTTGAAGTAAGAGAAGCGTTAACTTCAAAATAAAAAATAAAAAAAAAATCGAATCAAATAATTTTTTTAATCGAATATGTAATATTTTCTTATTCAAATATTATGGGAAATATTCTCGTCTTTTGTAATTAATCATCAGATTAATTAAAATAAAAAAAATCGCGAAATCTGTAGCAGTAAGTACCGAAAAAAAAATCGACAACGGAATTCAGGGAATCGGACTCTTCAAAAAGAGGGTACTAAACGTGTTTTCATTTCGAGATTCAGTAGCTTTAATAAATAAAATTGTATTAAAAATATCGGATTTTAATAGCTATGTGGAAATCAGTAGTAATAACTACATGAAAAAACTGAACAAAAATTTCTACAGAAAAAAAATCCAAATGTTCTATTTCATTATTCTTTATTTTTCATTATTCTCAAATGAGAATAGAAAAATCACAAGAATTTTTTCCACTCCGATGCACGAGAAAGGAGTCTTCTGAATAATTCAGAAGAAAATATAAAATATTTCGAAAGAAGAAAAATGTTTTACTTCCCAAAGGAAAAATATTTGTGCAAGAACGTGGTTATGTTCTGCAACAATGTCGCCACGGGGCTTTCCACTACATTGCTGCCTATTGAAGAGATTAAAAAATCACAATATTTCAAAATCCACGAGAGGATTAATAATGAAGATATAAATTTGTTTCATTAGCTTTAAAATATTATTGAAAATTATGCATTTTAACACGGTGAACCATCCATTTATATTAATGAATGATTAATTTTTGAAATCATATTATGATGTGCATAGATAGTTAATTTTTGCAGGGATGAAATTGTTTTTCATTACACATATGGAGAAGTAGGATTTATGATCGAACACACTAGTTTGTATTATGTTACAGACACCTATATTTTTATACCAAATGATGATACAAATTTTGTAATAAATCAATAATTAACCAAAAACAATTAAATTAAGAAACTTTTGAACACAAAGTATTGATTCTTTATACACCGTTTTATCAAATGACAATATTTTATTGAATTTTTTAGATATATTGCATTTATTAATGTAGATGTAAAGTAGAATAAAAGATTTCGTATGAAACATTTAATTAGCTTTATTTGTACAGCTTATTTTAGAAACAGGAGCTTTTGTGCCGACTGATAGGTAAGCATACAGTCACAACTTTTTAATTCTCCAACTGCAGATTGAAAAATACCATTTTAATTTTCACATCAAAAATAAAATATCATGTTCATAAACCGAAAAATTGAGAGATAGAAAAACTCACTCTTCAATACAGTCTGCCATTAGTGCGATCCTTCAGACTGGACTTTCAATTTTAATAATCACATTTAATTTTCAACTATATTAATATTATTACAACCTAGTATACTTTACACAGTGGATTTGTTGGCATTGGCAATGTTAGAGAAGACAATAAAGTTTGTAGTCTGTAGTTGTAGATTTGGTTAGACATTTTTTTTAAACAGTAGAGTTTTACTTTTGCTGTTTTAGTGCCACTGCCTCGTACACATTTGCCCAGCATACCAATAGTTTGGCGACAAGCTGTGGTGACATTTTCTAAAAATCACACCAAACTTGTAGCGTATACTAGGATTTTACTGATATTATTCGACAAAAGATAATTTTTTTTATTGTTGGTTACATAACACCACTAATTTCAAAACAAATTACAAGACAATTATCATCATAAAAAATTTGTTTTGCATAAAATAAATAGTATTTTGCAGTATTTCATGAGCTTGAGAAAAACTCTCCCAGACTAACAAATTGTATTTTTTATACACTAAATTTCAACACTAATTTGATAAATTTCATTCCCTAATGAAATGTTTTAAAATACAATTTCAGTAAAAACTTAACAATCATAAGCATATTTTCCCGAATGGAACTGATCTACAGCTGTTTTAAAAGAATTATACACTTACACATAACAACTGTATTAAGGTATTTTAAAAAGAAAAGGAAATTTATATTAGTTATACTTTTCTGGAACTACAAATGTTTCACTAGTTGTATTTGGAGTAACACTTTTGTGTTTAGCTTTTTTCTTCTTCATATGCTTGATTTTCTTGCGTGCTCTAACATGTTCAGAATCACAATCTACAGTTTTCCTACAAAAAGTCATAAAAAAAATACAAAATTTTATTTAGAAAAAGAATAAAAAACTTTATACCTTAAAAATAAAAACTAATTATGCTACAAAATCCGGTGAAAAATCTTTAAAAAACAACAACAACATAATATGCTCAAGTGATTTGTATGAATGATATTGAGTTAGAAATAAAAACTATAAAAATTAAATCTTCATTAACTTATTAACATATCAGATAATGAAAGATCAGATAATAAAAGATTAATTTTCTTTTTCATTAAAAATATGTAGTGTAAATTAAATAGTTTCTTTCTCAGAGATTTTTTTCCTTCATTTTTTAAATTAAAAATTGGATCATTTTTTAAATTTAAATAATTGGTAAGCAAACGTTCTATCCCCTAAGCCATCACAGCTCTTACTGTATTATTTATAACTTTAAAAAAAAAATTATCATGTTCTCTCCAACAATGGTACACTTGCTTTGCAAATTCAATCCATCTTTGTTTTTTTTTCAAGTGTAACAGCAAAACAGTTTAATTTTTCAATGATTTTTCTGTAGAAAATAATTTAAACATTTAAATTTGTAGAAGGAATGAGGATGGATGGATAAACAAGTTTTCAAATTCCAACACATTCTAGTTTTTTAGATATGTAGGTTTGATAATAACAGAACAGACATAGNTGACTTCGGGCAGGACAAAAATTAACGTTTCTATTTTGTGAAGCCCAAGCTGAGTTTGTTTCTACTTTAGGATGCTAAATTCACTATTTTCCTAACAGATGACAATAGTGGTTCTAGTTTTTCATGGATTACAACTTCATTCCAGGGAGGGAAATGTGGGTGGGGTTTGGGGATATACCATACTGTAAAAAATTTGTAAAATTTATGTATTGAAAATCATATTGTTGTGTTTTGATATTATATTATACTAGTTATATCATATTTAGCATCAAAATTTTGTTTCATTTGCTCTCATTGAATAAGATGTGCATGTAATCCATTACTTTTTTATGTGTATGTAAAAATTATAAATACTATAATTATTGCATTTAAAAATTTATTTTTGCAATAAAAAACCATTTTCTAACTTTTATAGTACTATAAATAAAAGAATTAAACCGTCAAATTTTTTCCCCATTTTTCTGAAATATATGTCACTGTTAAGGGGCTAAAGAACACAAAATTCAAGTGTTTGCCAGGGGAAACGTTGATAGATAGTGTAATTCAAAATTTTAAAATCAGATTTATGAATACCGTTAATTCATTAACATATAATAACAAGTCTGATCAGATTCAGCTAGGTTTCATATAATATTTTGTATCAAAATACAGGAAAACCGAAGACATTGTTGTTCTTTGTAAAGAAGTGGATGATCAAATGCCTTTGCACATTCTCGACATTTTCAAGTATCCAATAGACATAAATGACTTTAGGGATTTATTTAAAATGTTTTTCGAAACATGAACAAGTGTAAATCAAAAAGTCATTGGAAACATTTAAAAAAATAATTAATTTAAAATTAAAATATATGCCTTTTTATACCTCCTATTTTAAATTCTTAATATGTTCTATAATGATTATTTTTTTTCTTCAAAAATATTTATATAAGAGTACCGGATCTTAAATGATTTGAATTTGGGAGAGTCATTAAAATAAAAATTAACACAATAACTATTAATTTGTCTGGGAAGTAAAGGTGGCCTGTGCACAGTAATGACCCTATTGTCACTTGTCACATGTCCAATTTTTAAGGGGAATGAAACTAAAATATTCAGTTAGATAAGTTTTAAACACTTCCCTTCTGAAAAAAAAATATTCCACCTGCAAAATGTTTACATTTTTTTGATTCCTTACTTTGTTTTAAATAAGTTAAATTTAAACTAATGAAAATTCATTTAATTTTTTTATGTATTTTAAATATTAGGGGGGGGGGGGGCTTTCTGGGATTTCGAATTACTGAAGGTGACAACTATCTACCATTCATTGCACCAACAACGCCTATGATTATAACCATAATTCTATTTGTCTTGAAATTGTAAAGCCTTAACCTCTATAATTCCTCCTGTCTACAAAAAAAAGGTGCAGGTATAGTCCAAAATAACTATTAAAAACAAGAATAAAAAAAAATGCTTACTAATAACTAGTACTAGAAGGATACAATAAAACACACAATTTTTTTTAAAGGAGTATTAAATCATTATGTACATATTATAGAGCAAAGAGAAGATACAAGAAAAACATGGATTTTTAATTGAAAACAAACATAAAAAGAAATCCTACTTCAAATTTCAGGTAGGACCTCCATAAAAGAGAGATATAATAACATAATGGCGATGTCAGCATTCTTTACTCGACTACGATGTCTACATTCTTTATACAAGACTCGGATTTTCCACATTATCCCAAGACTAAGTGAACTATCTGTAGCAAGAAATGTTAACAAAAAATGTTAAAAATACAGCACAATATAGCACTAATTAAGTATAAACACACACATACACACAAAAAAACATTATCCCAAAGCTAAATGACCTATCTGTAGCAAGAAATGATAAAAATATAGCATATAGCACTATTTAAATATAAACATACAAACAAAAAAAAACATTAACCCAAGACTAAATGACCACAATATAGCACAAGTATATATATATATAAAAAAATAAATAAATAAAAAACACACACACACAAAAAAAAAAATTTTAATCTTCAAAATAAAATAAAAAGTTCATTTTTAAAGAAAGTTCAAATATAAAAAGTTTACAATGCTTGTACTAAAAATAAATATATCGAAACTTTTTATAGTGAAATATAACCAACTTTTTTTTTTCAATTTCTTTTTTTGTAATATTAAGATGCAAATTAATTTATTTAAGGAAAAAAAATTGTATTTCTGATGTATGGAGGGTTTTCTCAAATTCTTGTTATACCCACAATTTTTTTAACCCATATTTTACCGCATTAAAAAAAAACTTATTTTGTGTACTTTCAAGTCTTATTTTGTGTACTTTTAAGTCATTACTAAGACTTACTTTGTGATTGTTTGTCATTTATTTTTCTTTGCATTTATATATAAATTTTTCTAATTGTTTTTTCTTATTTGATTTTCCATGATGGGGCCTCGGTTTTACCACTGACAACAGAGAGGCTCTTGTGCGTGTTAGCAGGTAGTGTGTCCCCTCATGATGTACTGTCCTGCTAACACACATATCTCAAATTTTTTATAATTTTTGTTTTCTGCTAGAATTGTTTTTCTGATTTTATAAATTAAAATAAAACAAAGTTGTATTTAGCTGCTGTAGGCGTTTTTTTATTTTGATTTATTATTTTAAATGTTACTTACTTATTTTATCTTTTTCTGAATTTGTAAATTAGTTTCATTCTTGGATTAGATCATAAATAGGTGTGTTATTCATTTACTTCAATAAAAAATATCATGCTTCTAATATTTGCATTAGATGAAATGCATCAATATATTACTGATTTATCAATTTTATATCTGCTTATACTTGCAAATTAGCTGCAATTTGTCAGTGAGTAAGATATTAAACTGTTATGAAGAACTAGGGTGCAATTATTAATGGCAACTTGAAGCCCTTCAGATTGATGGGTACCAGCTTGTCAAAAAAGAAATGGTACCAGCTTGTTTGGGAAGTAAAGATGACCTGTGTACAATACTGACTACATTGCCACAATTAGGCTGTTGATCACACAATTAAGGGTCCTTAACTTCCCTGGCCACAAAAAGATGTTGCTTCATCGTTTTCTAGTAACATACCATTTCATAAGTAAATATAAAAAAATTAATTTGCAGCTAAGATGAAGGCATAATTTTTCAATATCCTATAATTCAACTAACAAATTATTTTGTGTCAGCAAATCGCATCAATACTAAATAGAAAGATAGATAAAGCATGGGAGTTCTGTGACTTATTATTGACAAGTTTATTTTACATGATATTTTATTCATAAATATTACCTCAAATCCTTCTGGTCTTTGTGTTGGTTATCTACATCTTAATGCAACGTAAAAGCAATTTTACGAATATAAACATTTAAAAGCAAGTAAAAAGAAAATATGGGCCAGTTCCGTTAGCTAGGTGCTTAAATTATTTTTATTTATTTATTTTTTACACACAGACAAACTACCCCAAAAAATAAATAATAAAAAGTATATTTGAATTCAATTGTACCTGGCAAGCAGAAAAGTACCCAATATTCTAAATAAATAAGAGAAATTATGCATTAAAACTTTTACCGAAGTCTTCTTTAGTAGAGTCATCAGGGGTATTTTGTTTGCAAACTAGAGAATATCGTAAGTTCTGAAGCTATAAGAAATATCCAAGAATGTGGCTGGATTTGAGTGGAGGATCTTTCCAGAAATTTGGCAAAATATCTAGACGAGTAACGAAAAGAAAAGTTTACTATAATGCTAAACTATATTTCAGTTAATAAAAAGAAGAAAATAAGCAAGTGGTTTAAATAGCGAGTGACAAGGAATAACTTGGAGGAAAAAAAACCTTTTTATTTATCATCAGGACTTAAAATTCCATTATTGGTCCAAGTACACATTCAAACAAGCATATAAAAGTTAGTTATACAAGGTGCGTAGTGAGATTTCTTTAACAAAAAATAAGCACCTTTTAAGTATTTTTTAAGAACTCAAAAATATTTTAAATCACTTTCCAAAGCAAAATAATTCATAACTAGGATCTGTGCCGTAATAAAAACTATTTCTCTCATATTGTTTAAAGAAATGTCAATAAAATTCAAAAACATTTTCAAAAACTTCACATAATCTTGATAAAATAACTAGTTTCTGATAAATATGGCAGAAAAAATTGTGAAAATCTTGCATTTTTTGTAATTTAGAACTACAGTCAATACGGCAAAGAAAAAATCTCTTTTTAAAAGATAGAAAATTAAGCACTTTTTACAAAACTTGAATAAAAAAAACACCTTCAAAGGCTTTTAAAAAACGAAAATAAAATTAAATAGGATAGTCCAGTTTCTTTGATTAATGTCTTCTTACTTAAGTAACTTCTAATAGTCTCTAAATAATAAATTCAGATTTAATCATTTGAATGTTCAATGATGAAAAGGTTAAGTCTATAATAATAATGTAAGCACAAATTAATAAATAAATCCTTAAATTTAGTTAACAACATAAAAACAACTAATTAATAAAAAATACATAAATACTATGATTAGTCGGATTTTACTATTATGAAAATAATGCATTCCAATATATACAACTTTTCACCCATGTGGCAGAATTTTTTCCTGCTTTCTGCGACACACCTCTCTTATACTAATATTTTTCTGCAAGATGCTTAAAAATAACAAATATACATGTTACTTATTTGAAGTAAGAGAAGCGTTAACTTCAAAATAAATAAATTTAAAAAAAAATCGAATCAAATAATTTTTTAAACTGAATATGTAATATTTTCTTATTCTAATATTATGGGAAATATTCTCGTCTTTTGTAATTAATCATCAGATTAATTAAAATTTTAAAAAAATCGCGAAATCTGTAGCAGTAAGTACCGAAAAAAAAAGATTGACAACCAAATCCCGGGAATCGGACTCTTCAAAAAGAGGGTACTAAATGTGTTTTCATTTCGAGATTCAGTAGCTTTAATAAATAAAATCGTATTAAAAATATCGGATTTTAATAGCTATGTGGAAATCAGTAGTAATAACTACATGAAAAAACTGAACAAAAATTTCTACAGAAAAAAAATCCAAATGTTCTATTTCATTATTCTTTATTTTTCATTATTCTCAAATGAGAATAGAAAAATCACAAGAATTTTTTCCACTCCGATGCACGAGAAAGGAGTCTTCTGAATAATTCAGAAGAAAATATAAAATATTTCGAAAGAAGAAAAATGTTTTACTTCCCAAAGGAAAAATATTTGTGCAAGAACGTGGTTATGTTCTGCAACAATGTCGCCACGGGGCTTTCCACTACATTGCTGCCTATTGAAGAGATTAAAAAATCACAATATTTCAAAACTCACGAGAGGATTAATAATGAAGATATAAATTTTTTTCAATAGCTTTAAAATATTATTGAAAATTATGCATTTTAACACAGTGAACCATCCATTTATATTAATGAATGATTAATTTTTAAAATCATATTATGATGTGCATAGATAGTTAATTTTTGCAGGGAAGAAATTTTTTTTCATTACACATATGGAGAAGTAGGATTTATGATTGAACACACTAGTTTGTATTATGTTACAGACACCTATATTTTTATACCAAATGATGATACAAATTTTGTAATAAATCAACAATTAACCAAAAACAATAAAATTAAGAAACTTTTTAACACAAAATATTGATTCTTTATACACCGCTTCATCAAATGACAATATTTTATTGAATTTTTTAGATATATTGCATTTATTAATGTAGGTGTAAAGTAGAATAAAAGATTTCGTATGAAACATTTAATTAGCTTTATTTGTACAGCTTATTTTAGAAACAGGAGCTTTTGTGCCGACTGATAGGTAAGCATACAGTCACAACTTTTTAATTCTCCAACTGCAGATTGAAAAATACCATTTTAATTTTCACATCAAAAATAAAATATCATGTTCATAAACCGAAAAATTGAGAGATAGAAAAACTCACTCTTCAATACAGTCTGCCATTAGTGCGATCCTTCAGACTGGACTTTCAATTTTAATAATCACATTTAATTTTCAACTATATTAATATTATTACAACCTAGTATACTTTACACAGTGGATTTGTTGGCATTGGCAATGTTAGAGAAGACAATAAAGTTTGTAGTCTGTAGTTGTAGATTTGGTTAGAAATTTTTTTTAAACAGTAGAGTTTTACTTTTGCTCTTTTAGTGTCACTGCCTCGTACACATTTGCCCAGTATATCAATAGTTTGGCGACAAGCTGTGGTGACATTTTCTAAAAATCACGCCCAACTTGTAGCATATACTAGGATTTTACTGATATTATTCGACAAAAGATAATTTTTTTTATTGTTGATTACATAACACCACCAATTTCAAAACAAATTACAAGACAATTATCATTATAAAAAATTTGTTTTGCATAAAAAAATAGTATTTTGCAGAATTTCATGAGCTTGAGAAAAAATCTCCCAGACTAACAAATTTTATTTTTTATAGACAGTAAATTTCAACACTAATTTGATAACCCTAATGACCCATTCCCTAATGAAATGTTTTAAAATACAGTTTCAGTAAAAACTTCACAATCATAAGCATATTTTCCCAAATGGAACTGATCTACAGCTGTTTTAAAAGAATTATACACTTACACATAACAACTGTATTAAGGTATTTTTAAAAGAAAAGGAAATTCATATTAGTTATACTTTTCTAGAACTACAAATATTTCACTAGTTGTATTTGGAGTAACACTTTTGTGTTTAGCTTTTTTCTTCTTCAAATGCTTGATTTTCTTGCGTGCTCTAACATGTTCAGAATCACAGTCTACAGTTTTCCTACAAAAAGTCATAAAAAAATACAAAATTTAGTTTAAAGTAAAAAGAATAAAAAACTTTATATCTTAAAAATAAAAACTAATTATGCTACAAAATCCGGTGAAAAATCTTTAAAAATCAACAACATAATATGCTCAAGTGATTTTTATGAATATTGATTTAGAAATAAAACTATAAAAATTAAATCTTCATTAACTTATTAACAGATCAGATAATGAAAGATCAGATAATAAGAGATTAATTTTCTTTTTCATTAAAAATATGTAGTGTAAATTAAATAGTTTCTTTCTCAGATATTCTTCTAGATTTTTTTACTTCATTTTTTACATTAAAAATTGGATCATTTTTTAAATTTAAATAATTGGAAAGCAAACATTCTATCTCCTAAGCCATCACAGCTCTTACTGTATTATTTATAACTTTAAAAAAAAAATTATCATGTTCTCTCCAACAATGGTACACTTGCTTTGCAAATTCAATCCATCTTTGTTTTTTTTTCAAGTGTAACAGCAAAACAGTTTAATTTTTCAATGATTTTTCTGTAGAAAATAATTTAAACATTTAAATTTGTAGAAGGAATGAGGATGGATGGATAAACAAGTTTTCAAATTCCAACACATTCTAGTTTTTTAGATATGTAGGTTTGATAATAACAGAACAGACATAGTAAGTCTTAAAATACCTAATAATGGAAGTATAATAAATGGAAATTTTTTAAAAATTAGTTTGTTGTTTCATAATTTTGAATCCAAATTTTGGTAATTAATTTAAGTCATTTAACTTTATTTAAAGTAAGATAATTTCTTACATAGAATTAAAGTGACAAAAAATTTGCCATTCTTGAATTCGGATACAAAATAAATTTTTTTGCAACATGAATTATAAACACAAATTTGAAACAGCAGTCATGCTCACAAGCTCCCTCTACAATTTTAAAACTAGAAGAACACTATATTTGCAACAAAAACTTGATAGACACAAAATTCTGGGCTCCAACCGCCCATCAACCAGTTTGAAACAATTTCTCTAGAATATGTATTTTAAGAAACAATAATAATCTAACATTTGAATAATAAGGCAAATAAAAATTTCTAAAGTAAGTGACATCCATTGAAAAAATTCTATAGAAAAATTCAATCAATGTGATTCAATTCGGAAAATTACTACAACCTAAATAAAATTTTAAAAATATTTTCTATATCAACATTGGTTAAATATCTTTTATTTTTAAATTAATGTATTAAATATACTATTTCATATGAGAATTTATACTTACTCTAGTTTGCTGTATACTATTTCATTATTCGAGGGAGCATAACTCCTGTTGTTTAGCTACTTGGGATCAGCATTCCTGTTGTCTTTAAAGCAAATAAAATGCATAAATTACTTTAATAACAGTGGAATTCACATCAAAAGTAAGTTAGACTGGGCACGTATTAATTCCAGTCTAACAATTAATATAGATTTTTAAATGAAAAGATTTTAAAGGGATTTGTAGAATACAAATTGCCAAAATAAAATAAGCATAGGAATCTGATTGGTGCTATATTTAAAGTTTAGTATTTTTTTCACTTTGCACTAGAGCTGCACAATGGGCTATTGACGACAGTCAGGGAAATATCCCTGAGGATGATTCGAAAACATCCTAGCACAATTTTGATTCTCTGCAGAGGGGATGACACCCCTGCCCTGGTAGCCTGACGACCTGCATGCTAAGTCAAGCACTTTATGGTAGTAACGGTAAGAGTTTACGTCACCGAGTCGAGCACTTTACGGTAACAGTTTAACCTTGGTCCCTACGCAGGCTGATCAATGACCAAGTGGTCCTCCACCCCATTACTTATCGCAGTCCGTGATGTTTGACTTCGGTGTTCTACTTAGAACCATAACTTTACGATCAGCCCACTGCGGGAAGCTATGATGTGCGTACTTGATGGGAATGGAGCAATAGTTACGCATGTGTATAAGTAGAAGGGAAAAATATGCACACAAATCAGTTTAATGCAATTTCAATCAAAAAGTAGGGCAAAAATAAAAAGTTGAATAAGAATCAAACTGCTTCTATAAACAAACAAATTGAGTCACATTTTTAATTTAATTATGCTTATTAATTTATGCCCATCACTGTTTTGTCTGTATAGTTTGTCTAAAATAATAACTTCCCCAGACATTCGTCTGGACCTGTGGTGGTGACTATGGTAACGAGGTATGAATATTATGATGTCACTGTTTTGGAGTGGCTTTAGCTCGGGTTAGTCCTAAAGTGAAGCTACTCTCCCTAAAATGGGCAATTCTTGTTTCCATAGCAACAGATGGCCTCAGACTTTGTGGCGGGAGGATTCCTTAGCTTAGACAAACTACATTCCCAACTGTGATCCAATTGACACACAGCAAATCCAAGAAACATGATTTATTACATGAATACTGGGTTTGTGATATTTAGCAGAACATCCCAAGTAATATCAAAATAAATCAGGGATGAGTTTGGCAAAAAGCCAAAAATGTGTACAAAACAAATTTCATATAGAAAAAATTCCCGAGCAAGAAGTGTCTGTAAGAAGCATATACAGGGGTCTGTCCAAGACAAATTTAATACCGAACTTCACAAATTAAACTTTAGGAAATTTCACAGAATACTTTTTTCTAAATTTTATTTTTGTATCCTGTAAAAACGATAAATCCATATTTTTGTGTTGATTTTTTAATATAATTTTTAATTTTCACAAATTATGTCTAAATTTTCACAAAATAGGCACCTTTCAGAAAAACCTAGACAGACCCATGATATATCTGTAGAACAAACATGATCAATGTTTTTTTTAAAAAAAAAATAGTAAAAATATCAAACTATGAAGAAGGCTGAATAAAATTTTAAATGTTTTTTTTCTGTTTTTAATTTTGTGTGAATTTTGATCTCGATGATACGAATTCCAATGGGAAATTTTTAAAATTTAATAAAAATTTAGAATTAGTATGATTTTGTTTAATATTTACGTATAACAAACTATCACTTAAAGTAGCAATTAATTTTTTTAAATATCAGCAAAATTATTTTTCAAATATTACAATATTCAAACAACAAATTCAAACCTAAACCATTTTTCTATTAGATTAAATCAAACAATAAATAGAATATACCATCATTTTGACTTTGCGAATAATAAGCTGGGAATAGAGAAGGGTTGGATGCAGTTGTGGTGGTAATAGGGAATAATGGAAGAATCTCATTAGGATCAGAATTCATTTCAGCAATCTAAAAAATTAAAAGTTAATAAGAGGAATTAGATAATTGAGAAAAGTTCCTTAATAGTAACATTCATTTAAAACAGTCTTAAACTAAACTCATGCACTTATATCAGTGTTATCAATACAGAAAAAATGGGAGAGAATTTCTCACCCCTTCTCAAAAACAGGGTGAGATTTCAAAAAGTTAGGTGAGATTTCTAAAAACTAAAAAAAAAAAAAACACGAGTAGACTTGAAAAAAAAATATTTCTTTAATTACAATACATTTTTAACATATTACAATTTCTAAATCGTTGAATATTTTCTGCATCATCATATGGAAAATGCTCTATATCTACTTTTTCATCAGCTATTCTCATTAATCAATCTGTTACAATATTTTGTTTTAATTCGGTTTTGGGTGCTAAGTGACCTTGCAACAGATGCTGAACTATTCGGAATCACTGTAGCATTTGTGCTCACATTTTCCTATCCTCTACATCTACCAGTATAGGGTTTTCAATTATTTCTGTTTTAGAATAGTGAAGTTCGTTGAAGTTATTTCCATGTTCATACTTCTTGTTAGGTCTTCCCGCATAGTTTTCACAGACTTAAAATTTTATAAATTGCTGTAAATTGTCGATGAGGGAGTTTGTTAATTCATTAACAACTAAAAACAGAGTTAACTTTAAACAACTATGTTTAAAGTAGTTGATAAAGGACTAATTTCTTTCCTCAACGCTTGCCGTAGCTGTTTTCATGTTTTTTTCAAAATGGCGAAAAACGAATTTTTTTCCAAAATTCGAGAGATTTGAGCATTTTAAAATTAATAGAGTGCGCGAACTTCTCACGTTAATTATTTTTTAATGCGAGAAAAGAAAAAAATATGTCTTGCTCTGTAGTGAAAACACTGTATATTTTAAGTAGGTAGGTACTTTATTTATATCGCACTAGAGCTGCACAATGGGACGGTCACCTTAATTTTTTATCATATGCAGAGGGAATGGCTCCCCTGCTTTGGTACCTGCATGCAAAGTAAAGCATTTTAGGGTAGAACAGTTTAACGAGGACAATACTCTCCGTCCCTACACAGGCTGATCAAAGTGGTCACCCATTTACTGACCGCAGCCAGTGATGCTTGACTTCGGAATAATATTTTAAAATTCATAATATTGGTAAAATAAAGAAGTATATTTTAGTTTACTATTTTTCAATGCAATGAATCAAAATAAACAAATATATAATTTAAATCACGAATGCACAACCAACCTTTTTCTAATAGCAGGCTACAGAAACAAAAAAATTGCCATATTCAGGGCCAACATGAATAAGGTAATTTAACTGTAATTCTAAACACATAAAGCATATTTAGATCCTAATTTAAAGTAACATGTATCATTATAAAATTTGCAAGAAATTACTTTTCTCTGCAAGCAATGAACCCCTGTGGCTGAATCATAGCGGCATTGTCGCAGAACAATACAGACTTCTTGTGAAAAGATTTTTCTTTTCAGAAGCAAAAAAGTTGCCTTCCTTGCCTGTCAGAGGAAACAGAATGCTTGCTATTTTTTTTTCTTTTGAGAATAAAAAAATTCTGTAATGAGTTAGTTGGAATTTCAAATTTATGTTATAAAAAGTAATTCCCAAATCATAAAAATTTAAACAATATTTCACTTTAGAAATGCTTTTTAGAACATTTTATTTTATACTTTAGTAAAATATGACGTTGAGAAGGGGTTTAATTAAAAATTCAGATTTGTAACAAAAGAATCAACAAATCATTGTGGTACATTTGTCCTTTTTTAATATTTGGTAGAAATAAAATCTATTTAATATAACGAGCAAATCTGCATCAAGCAAAAAAAATTTTTTTTCAAAAAATTAACTTTAAAAATTAAAATATCCACATTTTATATAAAAATCAATTACTGTGTCAATCAAAAATCAATTTATAATAACTCAAATTCAGATCTAATAATCAGGTCAGTTACCTGTTAAAAATAGAAAAACAGCAGAGTTTAGCGAAAAAAAATTTTTTAAAAAGAGAAAAGAAACAAAACTTTACAAACTTATAAAATTAGCATGATCATATAAGTTGGATTGAAAATATATATACATTCGGATATCATATTGCAGAAGTTCAAATGGAGACAAATTTGATAACTAGCGCTATTAGGTCTCACAGTAAAATATAAGATAAGATTGATAATTACGATTTATAGACAGGGAATTTTAACAGGTAAGTTTTCAATCAGCATTATATTTTTTTTACACAGCAAAATGTACAATCACATAAGTACGGATTGTTGTGTAGAATGCAGATTGTAGAAAAGTAAGACGAGCTCTCTGAGTTAGCTTATAGCTCTGTGTTTTTATTAATGGAGCTAATGGTTGAGGCTAGGTAGCTAGGCTTGTTGTTGTTAATTTACGTCGCACTAGAGCTCACCAATCAAGGCCATTTCAATATAACGAAACGAACATCGTCTTCCACAGCGCGAGTCGACATCGGAACGTAAGAGAAGAGTCTTATATCGCTATATCGTTATCTTATATCCTTGCCAGTGTTATTATCGCTATATCGTTTTGCGCTCGTTGTCTTTACTCGACGGCTTAAATCAGATTTCTGATGCATCGCCTTGAGTCGCTGTATCGTCTTGCCGATATATGCGTTAAATCGATATGTCTCGATACATCTATTTATAGCCCAGTCCTAGTCTTAACGATCAGTTCACTTTTGATCCTGTAATCCCTAAAATTACGCTTCTTGAGTCCTTAACAATTGTGCTCAACAAGGCTAAAAATGAATATGAAGGTGGGGAATTACAGGTTCAGTATTGTCCACCAAACGTTTGTATAACTTTGGATGGTATCTTTGTGCTGCCTTCTTTAATGAGTGCCCTTTTATTTACAACTTTCTTTCTATCGTGTAGACGATGGATGTATAGCAATCAAACCATTCAAGTAAACTGTTCTGGTACCAAAAAGTGACTTGAATGGATCATCCAGCAAAGTCTCGGATCAACATTGCATATGATAAAATCGCGATCATTAATGATGAAGATGCAATTAGTATTAAAAAAATATTATAATCTAATACATAGCAATCATCAATACCATCTTAAAAAGAATCGTAGATATTTTACATAATTATTGAATATGATACTTTTTGATAAGTGGAGGTTTTATACATTTTGATATGATACATGGAAGACTTTGTGACCAGACAGATTTAACGGGAACCATTTACTAGATGGGGAGTCTTCCACCGGCTGAATTCGAACTCCCGCTCTCCCGAACGTGACTCCAGTGGTTTGCCAACCAGACTATCCCGGAAATAAAATAAATTTGTATAAATGTAGCATAAAACATGCTCTCGAAATTGTTTTTTTTTTCTTTACCCATTGGCAAAAAGGGTGTTGTTTTGGGTTTGATGGCGTTCGCACCTTATTTGGACGTCATTACACTCTTCACCTGTGTTCAGAGCCGGATTATACCTTTCGTAGGCCCTAGGCACAGAGCCGTGTTATACCTTTCGTAGGCCCGAGGCATAGCGGTTTTTGGGCCCTCCCCACCTTCCCCCTCTCAAAATATATGCTAAAATTTTCTTGCATATTTATTTTTTACATTTTTATTAATATGGATTTTAATGTACAAATTTGTTTATCGAACTTTATCTGCAATACCGACATACTGCCGATATTGCAGTTGATATCGATAATACCATTATGATTAGTTCGATCGATAACTATGTAAACACTTCACGTCAACAATACAACAACAAATGAGCAANGACCCCCTGAATTTCGTAGGCCCTAGGCACGTGCCTAGTGTGCCTATAGGTTAATCCGGGCCTGCCTGTGTTCAATAGTAACAGTAAACAGCGCGCATGCGTCTTCATTGCATGTGCTGCTTAGGCGACCGCTGCTGTTCGATTTTTTTTAGAATCCTTTTTTTTCACTTTAAATTTTGTTATGCATTAAGTGGGTGAATTTATTTTTGAGATATGTGGGACCGGAGATATCTCATAAATACTTCTTGAGTTGTGAATAAAAGAGAATTTCATCAACTAAACGATATTTTTTCGTTTCTATAATTTTAATTAAGAATCAGAAATTCTAACCTACAGTTCAAACTGGATAATTTTCAATACTAATTCAGCTGAATATCGCAAATAAAGAGGATAAAAAAAAAAAATAGTCAACAACCATTTCGCCAATGGGTAACTAGTGATCGCCTTTCGGCGATAACATTCTTTTTAAAGTTCATTTTCTGCGCTACTGTTTTATTTTTTATTTTCGGTGTGACAGTCAAAGAATTTTGACGATTTCAAGTGACAACATAGAGTCGCGGTGGTTCAGGGAATAAAGCGCTTGACTTCCAATCAGGTGACTTAAATTCAGGTTGCTTATAAAAACCTATATACAGCTGGAAGAGATTAAGATAAATTCGAACTTGGCTTATCGAAACAGAAAAAGGATAGAAAGGAAATATTTTAAAGTTATTCAATACAATTGACAGATTTATGTAAACTTTCTTATGAGGTTATAATTATCGTTATTACACGACAAACTTCCTATAACAGTTAACTTCTATTTCTGTCGAAGCAGCGAATACAAACTTTCACCTTCTCGTGCTTGATTGTAAACAAGCTACCGTTGTCGTCTGACAGTTTTCAAAAGTACGCTAAAATTGGCGGAAATAATTCACGACTGGAATAAATGCATCCGAGCTAGGTGTGCGCTTTCTCAATAATTGGTGTTTAGAATTAACTACACCCTTTAAAGTGTAAATGAACGTTCGATTCGATATTGAGTTGAAGTAAAGTATTCAGACAAACATTTTTTTTTTTTAGTTTTTTAAACACCGAATTCGGTTAAGTATTACATTACAGTTACCATTACAGTTAGTATTACATTATAGTTAAGCATTACATTACAGTGCAAGATTATTTTAAAACAGTGTCAAAAATGTTTGAGAAATTTTGTAGTTACCAATTTTCTATATAAATAGCAGAGATTCATTAGAATTATTGAATAAGAATAGAAATTAACTCATTTGTTTCAAAAATAATGCTTTATTTATTTAGACTAATTATATTACAAATAAACGTTCATTTTCAGGTATTTATTCTGTTGGCTGTGTTGCATCGCGAAAGCATCCATAAGAGCATCAGCAGGAGCTGTGGCAGGAATTGTTATGTACTATAATTCAATCTGTAGTGTTTTGTAACTTAAGTAGACATGCAATTACTTTTACCAAGCAATTGAATATTTCAAAATAAAAAGATATTATTTAGCATTAAATGTGTTTCATGTGTTTTACATCTCTTTTTCTCTCTTACTGCTTTTTACATCCTTTTTTCTCTGTTCCATCAAAAAGTGCTCCACGAAGGCTCATTTTTCCCAATACTTGATCCAGGAGTTCCCTTGTCTTCTGGATTAGGTTCAAAATTACAAGGCATTGCTTCAGTTGCCGTAAGCCTAAAAAATGAGTCGGCTGTTCAACGACGGTTAGATTATATTATATTTTTTTACATCACACATTATTTTTTCGGAAGCGAAATTTTTTTATAAACATGAAGTAACATAACAAACAGATCGGCAAACATGATGTTAGGAGAATATAATTTTAACAAGAACGTATGTCTAAATTGCAAATTTATACAAGAATTTGCAATCATTGTAAAAAAAAGTACATAAGGGAAGTATATGAAGGGAGAGATAAACTCATTTGCCGGATCTCTGGAAAGTATTAAATGAAAGTATCTTAGCGATACATTCAAAGAGGCAGGGACATTTAAGTTACTGAAAAGAGACAACGAAGAAATGATGAGAAACGAAGAAATGATTGATTTTGGCACAAAATTTAAAAAAAAAAAGTCGTTGGCTGAGAAATAACTTGGTCAAGCCTTCAGTTAAGCGACATCCAATTAAAATTTAAGAATCGGAAAGTTTGAAAAACGGACAATTGAGATAGGTTTAAAAGTTTAAAAAAAAAAAATAAAAAAGAATGTACGCTTGCAGTCTACGATTTTGGATTAAAAAAAAAAGGAATAAAATACTTTCAATGACGTGTCATTTGGTTTGAAAAGAATGCTTTTCTTATCCACCAGAAATTTAATTATCAGGCAACGACCTCTTAATTCCAAGAAGAAGAAAATTGAAACCCAAAAGAGAAATGAAATTTTGTGAGAATAATATTCAGTGAATTTACGTTTAGACTAAGAAAATTCACTTTATTAAAAAAAACTGCCTAAAAATTTCGAATAGAATAAACTAAAACTGTTGTGAAATTAAGGGTAAATAAAGATTAAAAATTCAGAAAAAAAAATGAAAAGATTTAAATAAATGTGTGATTGTAACCTGTGTGAAACTGAAAGTGTAACTATGCATGAAGGAAGAGGGCGAATATCTCCATAAATTTTGATCTAATGATCGGCTTCTCATTGCATTAGGATTCCATCTTAGGGGTTCTAATTAACTCCATATTTAAGGTTAGGTAACCTTAAATATACTGATTAATTACTACTTTTCTTGTTTAAACTATTGGATTTATATTTTCCTTGTTACGACTACCTTGAGAGTCAAAAATCCAAAAGTGATCCGAGATCTGATTAATTCAGGGAAAGTACACTTTTTGTTCTTCATCCGGAAATACGCAAAAACTGATATTAACATTAAGGGATCCGAACTTCGGACCGCTATCTTGACTGAACTATGTTTCCCGGTTTGCGTCCAAAATTTTGAGGGTTAGGAATCGTAATTCGCCGGAAAATGGTATGTAAGGTAAGCAATGTTTTTACATCATTTTAAAATACATGCATAAAATACAAAATTTGAACGAAATTGGCTGAATAGTTCTTGAAAATCGTATATTTAGCGTATCGTATATTTAACATTCGATTTCTCAAGAACTATTCAAACGATTTCATGCAAATTTTGTATTTTATTGTGTAAAATAACATTCAAGTGATGTAAAAAATTTTATACCTTACAATTCGAAATTTGTTATATCACTAATAAAATAATAAAAACGAAAAAATATTTACTGAAATTTATTTTTTGCATTATTAACGAATTTGTGAGTGTGTGCAAAACATAGACCCATTAGGCCTCTCAAAGGGGGGAGGGGAATAATTCCAAATCCCTTTTGCAAATCCGTGGAAATGACTTGGAATCTCGTAAACCAGTATGCTTAGATCTCAATAACAAGACAGAGGAACACGTGCAAGTGGTACGGAATAAAGTACCACACAGCTGATCCCAAGGTGGAGAGTTCGAATACCGGGGAGGTCCGGGGTAGTTGGAAAAGTAAATAAAATGTCTTATTATGAGCTGTTTGTTTTCTTTTTTTTTTGCAGAATTATTCTAGTATTCGAAAAAAGCTTTTTTAAAAGAAATAGTATGGTAAATTTAACAAAATCTAAAAGAATAACTATCTCCTCTCCATTAAATGTGCATTTGAATACATAACTTATAATTTTTTTTAATTTCAATTACTGTCGATTTTAAATTATTCAGTTTTATAGAT